ATGTAAGAGACTAAAGCTGGGAGTGGTGCAAAGTAAAGTTGACTTATCTCCCATCCTATTGGAATCACACTTTCAGGAGGGATGTAAAGGCATTGGAGAGGAAAGATGCCCCCAAATGACTTCAAAAATTGTGAACATCTAGTTATGAAGATGGATTTAAGTTAGGACTCGCCTTTTTTTTTTAGGTGGAGGTTTGATCCAAGTTTTTAAAAATCATGAAGGGTCTGGACAGAGTACTGTAGATGAATAGTTTTCACTCAAAAGGATTGAGACCAAGAGAGCACTTTTTCTTAAAAAAAAAAAAAAAAAAAATTTTACTGGTTGAATTGTCAAGACATGATTGTATTGGGACGTGTGACTAAGAACAGAAGTAACCCATTCATTCAACCTCTTGCGTTTATTCCATCATTCAATAAGATCATGGTTGATCAGTTTGTATTTCAACTCCAATTACCCTTTTGACTGTATTACCTAAACCAGAATTAGGGGTGGCACGGTGGCTCAGTAGTTAGCACTGCTGCCTTGCAGCACCAGGGACCTGGGTTCAGTTCCACCTTCAGGCAACTGTCTGTCTGTGAGGAATTTGCACACCTCTCCCTGTGTCTGTGTGGCTTTCCTCCAGGTACTCTAGTTTCCTCCCAAAGTACAGAGATGTGCAGGCTAGGTGGATTAGTCAGGGGAAATGCAGGGTTACAAGAATAGGGTGGGGTGGGGACTTCTGGATGGGATGCTCTTTGGAGGGCCGCTGTGGGCTTGATAGGCTGAATGGCCTGCCCACACACTGAGGGATTCTGATTCAATTAATCTGCCTAATTATACTCTAAGTGAATCATTGGCATGTTTTACACTGCACGTGATTCTCAAGTCTTATCCATTTACTATTGCCTACTCTCCTATTATCTGATTTTAACCTTTTGTTTTCTAAGCTTGTTTTAAAGTACTGAACTATCATGCATTGTGGATGTTGAAAACATGTATTGTAGTGTGAAGCAGTAATCAGCAGAGTCTTCAGACTTGCTGATCAAGAAAAAGGATACCATTGTGAGCCATTCAGTCTTTGACCTTTTGACTGTTATGAGTTGTAATGCATGGGGGCACCAAGAGTTCCAAAGTCCCTTCCTGATGGTGGAGACTTGTGTGGTGCAGTCATTCCAATTTGCTAGAGTCATTTAATCTTTCTACCCTGTGAAATTACTATGAAATAATATTGCAATGTTGTATGAAATAGTTTATTCAATAATATCATGCAACCAGCCAGGAGAAACTCTTTTGGATGTTATGAAGTTTATATGAATTGTAAATGTAGTGGTGTTGAATCTTCATCCAAATGTGAATTGTGTCTCCATGTATGTGGTGCAATATGCAGAACATATTAATGAGGCAATCAAGAGAATGTTATTACCTGCATGGTGTTATAAGGTAATAGGATATTTTCCTGTTACGTTAACAATTTTGCACAATATCATTTAAAGTGTAATGTGTTCCTTTTTTGGTTTGTTTAAATGATTGTGGTTGGGCCACTGAAAAACAAACCGACACCACCACCTACCACCCCCTTGATCATGACCCCACCCCCGAGCACCAAACCATCATCTCCCAAACCATCCACAACCTCATCACCTCAGCTGACCTCCCACCCATGGCCTCCAACCTCATCGTTCCCCAACCCCGCACCGCCCGCTTCTATCTCCTTCCCAAAATCCACAAACCTGAATGCCCTGGTCGACCCATTGTCTCCACCTGCTCCTGCCCCACCGAACTTATCTCCAACTATCTGGACTCCATTTTCTCCCCCTTGGTCCAGGAACTCCCTACCTACGTCTGTGACACCACCCACGCCCTCCACCTCCTCCAGAACTTCCAATTCCCCGGTCCCCAACACCTCATCTTTACCATGGACATCCAGTCCCTATACACCTGCATTCCCCATACAGATGGCCTAAAGGCCCTCCGCTTCTTCCTGTCCCACAGGCCCAACCAGTCCCCCTCCACTGACACCTTCATCCGCTTAGCCGAACTCGTCCTCACCCTGAAAAACTTCTCTTTCAATTCCTCCCACTTCCTACAGACAAAGGGGGTGGCCATGGGTACCCGCATGGGCCCAAGCTATGCCTGCCTCTTTGTAGGTTACGTGGAACAATCCCTCTTCCGTACCTACACTGGCCCTAAACCCCACCTCTTCCTCCGTTACATTGACCGTATTGGCGCCGCCTCGTGCTCCCACGAGGAGCTCGAACAGTTCATCCACTTCACCAACACCTTCCACCCCAACCTTAAGTTCACCTGGACCATCTCTAATACCTCTCCCTCCTTCCTGGACCTCTGTCTCCATCTGGGGCAACCACCTAGAAACCGATATCCGTTTCAAGCCCACTGACTCCCACAGCTACCTAGAATACACCTCCTCCCACCCACCTTCCTGCAAAAATGCCATCCCCTATTCCCAATTCCTTCGCCTCCGCCGCATCTGCTCCCAGGATGAGGCATTCCACTCCCGTACATCTCAGATGTCCTTGTTTTTCAAGGACCACAACTCCCCACCCACCCACCCCCGTCCCCGGTGGTCGAGAACGCCCTCGACCATGTCTCCCACATTTCCCGCAACTCATCCCTCACACCCCGTCCCCGCAATAACAACCAAAAAAGAATCCCCCTCGCCTTCGTGTACCACCCCACCAACCTCCGGATCCAACGCATCATCCTCCGACACTTCCGCCATCTGCAATCCGACCCCACCACCAAAGACATCTTTCCCTCCCCACCCTTTTTATCTGCTTTCCGGAGGGACCACTCTCTCTGTGACTCCCTTGTCCGCTCCACACTCCCCTCCAGCCCCACCACACCCGGCACTTTTCCCTGCAACCGTAGGAAGTGCTACACCTGCCCCCGTACATCCTCCCTCACCCTCATCCCAGGCCCCAAGAAGACTTTCCACATCAAGCAGCTGTTCACCTGCACATCTGCTAATGTGGTATACTGCATCCGCTGTACCCGTTGTGGCCCCCTCTACATCGGGGAAACCAAGCGGAGGCTCGGGGACCGCTTTGCAGAACACCTACGCTCGGTTCGCAATAAACAACTGCACCTCCCAGTCGTGAACCATTTCAACTCCCCCTCCCATTCCTCAGATGACATGTCCATCCTGGGCCTCCTGCAGTGCCACAACGATGCCACCTGAAGGTTGCAGGAACAGCAACTCGTATTCCGCTTGGGAACCCTGCAGCCCAATGGTATCAATGTGGATTTCACAAGCTTCAAAATCTCCCCTCCCCCTACCGCATCCCAAAACCAGCCCAGCTCGTCCCCGCCTCTCTAACCCTGTTCTTCCTCCCACCTATGCCCTCCTCCCACCTCAAGCCGCACCCCCATCTCCTACCTACTAACCTCATCCGGCCCCCTTGACCTGTCCGTCCTCCCTGGACTGACCTATCCCCTCCCTAACTCCCCACCTTCACTGGCTCCATCCCCGCCTCTTCGATCTGTCTGTTTCCTCTCCACCTATCTTCTCTATCCCTCTTCTATCCGCCTCCCCCTCTCTCCCTATTTATTTCAGAACCCCCTTCCCCTCCCCTCCCCCATTTCTGATGAAGGGTCTAGGCCTGAAACGTCAGCCTTTCTGCTCCTATGATGCTGCTTGGCCTGCTGTGTTCATCCAGCTCTGCACCTTGTTGTCTTGGATTCTCCAGCATCCGCAGTTCCTACCATCTCTCTCCACTACACTTTTTTTTTGCTGCTCTTGATGTTTATAACCCCTGCTGCAAATATCAGATGATATTTGTAACCAAAGCCAACAATGGGCTTTCTTACTTTACTATGTCAGAAGTCACGTGACACCAGCTTATAGCCCAATAGGTTTATTTGCAATCACAGGCTTTTGGAGCGTAGCCCTTTTTTGTCAGGTAAAGTGAGAGAGAAGGCATAGAGATCAAAAGATCATACAAAAGGTGTAAGTTGAATAATAAGTCTCTGCAGGTGGTTACAAATGTCAGCCAGTGTGAGTAAAGTGTCAACAGCTGAATAACAATTAAACGGATGACCTATAATCTGACTAAAAATAATTATCTCTGCCTCATTTAATTTTTTCGTGTGGTGCTAGAGATGAACCAAATGAGTGGAATAACATGTTAAGTACAATAGTTACATGCTGAGGGTCTATCCAAAGTAATAAGTAATCCAAAACTGTACAAACTAAGGTGGAGACCCCATAACAAGTTATCAAGGTGATGGTGTCAAGTCAGGACACTAAGGAAGATTTTTGCAGATACAGAAGTGTGATGGGGCCACTTTGTAGTACAACGTGAACTCAAGATCACAGTTGAGGCCATCTTCATGGGTATGGAACTTGGAACTTGGGGGCACACTATTATAAATTTAGCATCATCCAATTAGTGCTAATTAATCTCCTTGTAAAGAAACATTTAGAAAATATTGAGAATAGTATGATTTTTCTTTGTTTGAGAAAGATTTTAGCTCAACTGGCAATGGGGGGGGTCTTAGCTTAGATTTGAGGCAATCATGAAAGTATGAAGAGGCGGCAAGTGGTGGGGGATTTGATAAAAATACGTTAAAGGATTAAATGGTAGATAGGTGATGACCAGTATTTAAAGTAATGTTTGGTTTTTAAAAGCATACATTTACTGTGAGTCTAAGTATTCAGAGGGTGGTGAATTATTGGAACACTTTACCTCAGGGCTGTGAAAGTTCAGTCATTAAGTAAGTTCAAGATAGAGATTGACTGACTAGAAAATCTGTCACTTATGACATCAAGGCATATGGAAATAGTATGGCAATCTAGCATTGAGATGGATGATCAGCCATGATTGAGAATGGTGGAGCAGACTTACTAGGCTAAATAGCATAATACTGTTTCTATGTTCCAAATAAGGAATATTCTTGATTTCTAGATGAACATTCCTGCCTTTTTTATTTGAAAGCTTTCTAAGATTGAACTTTGAATTTTAAACTTTGACTTTGTTATTTTACTTTCTTTGTTTTGGTAGGTTTTTGAGCCCCTTGGAGATCATCCTTGGAGGAGCAGTGGTGGTGCTGATATTCATGGGTTCCATGTGGGCTTCTGAAAATAAAGCAGCAATTGGTCATTTCAAGCGTCGGTACCCAACAACGTTTGTCTTGAGTATCTTGCTGATGAGCTACTTTTTCATTTCCATTGTCGGGGGAGTGATGGTTTTCTTGTTTGGAATCACTTTACCGTTGCTTTGTAAGTAATGTCTCTGTCAATTTAAAAGTGATTTAAAGCCAGGCAAAAGGCAACTGTGTGCCAGAAATATAACACGATCCCTGATTAGAAGATGCAGTGCCCATTGTGAAGCAGGATGCCTTTGTTTCTTGGTTATTACTGACTTGGCTGATCTTGTGCTCCAGTGGGAGTGTTGAAACTAACATTAAACCAGGCAGGCTTAGTGCTTCTGACTGCTGACCTGGGGCAGCATTGTGGTTCAGTTAGCACTGCTGCCTCGCAGTGCCAGGCACTTGGGTTCAATTCCAGCCTTGGCGACTGTGCAAACTCCACACCCATTCTGTCCCCTTGGCTGTGTGGGTTTCCTCTGGGTGCCCCAGTTTCCTCCCACAGTCCAAAGATATACACGTTAGGTAGATTGACCGTGCTAAATTGCACAGTGTCTGGAGATGTGCAGGTTACGTGAAATAACCACGGGAAATGCAAGGTTACAGGGATAGGGCGGGGTAGGGTAGGGAAGTGGGTCTGGGTGGGATGCTGTTCGAAGGGTCAATGTGGGCTTGATGGGCCGAATGGCCTGTTTCCATGTTGTAGGGATTCTATGATTCAATTAGTCAATGTGGGAAGTCATTGTTCTGGATCTTGAATGAGGAGAAATTAGGAATCTATGATTTCCTATCTAGAACTTGCTTAGTGAACCTTTTGAATGTACTTAGTGTTTTTAACATAAGCCAGAAATAAACTTGATGTGCATTCAATTTAAACTTTTACATATTTTAGTGATGTTTATACATGCTTCTCTGCGGCTTCGTAACTTGAAGAACAAGATTGAAAACAAGATGGAAGAGGTTGGATTGAAGAAGAGTCCCATGGGTATCTTTCTGAATGCACTTGGTCAGGAACAGGAGCATCTCTCTAAATTTGCAGACATATTGGCAGCTCAAAGTAAAGACAAATAAGGAACAGATTAATTATTTTGCATCTTTAACTTTTGTATATGTTGTGCAGTATTCCTGGAATAACCTTTTGCAATGTGCATACACATTGATGTGATGCTCAATTGTCAGGAATTCCACAGTTAAAAACGTGTGTTTCTTTTTGTTTATTTGCAGAGTGAACTGTACTGTAGAAACAAACACTTTGATATTGTGCCGGACATGCGTTTTTTGGCTTTATGTAGTTCAAAGTTTTTTTTTGTTAATTAACTGATAACTAACATGCCACTATTACAATGGTTCATCTGGATGACAAGTATATGTGAACACTTCTTTTGTTGTGGTGTTGAGCTTGATTCTGTTAATTAGTTAAAGTTACTGTTTTTCAGAGTTTAAGGATACGTTTTGTTCATGGGTATTTAAGAATCAGGATATATAAGCCTGAATAGATGGTGAAATATGGAAGCATTGTATGACCTCTTCACAAGTTTCCAGTTGCCATTTCTAATGTAGAAAGTTCCGCATTCTTATGTTTGGTATGATCTTGCCTTTAGAATATAAACGTTTTTGTATTTGGTTTTTTTTTGACTTATAGCTATATGATAAATTATTTCATCTTTAAAATGTGTATTCGGTTGACTTTGAGGCCTGCCATTAACTGTAATAGCACAAATCACTGCAAAACTGGATTCACTATTAGAAGAAACCTCGGAAGCCACACTACCAGGGACAATGTCAAGCATATGCAATCTTGCCTACTTTTACTAAATCTGAGCCTGGGGAAAAATGGATTTAAGAAAAACATGTCTTTGGGGAGTTCAGCTCATTTACTAAAGCAGCTGTTGCAGTTGCACAACTATTTTACAGCTGCTAGGATATTTGGCAAACAGTTGTATCTGATATTTAACTCTGCAGAACCAAAGATATGCAACATCTCTTGCATGCAATAAAGGCTACTTTAAATTGTTCGTGTTGCATTCTAATTTTTTAATAAAACTGCTGTCATTTACAAAAAAAAATTCACCACCAATTGGAACTGTATATATTTATCTCAGATGAGCTAGACAGCATTTATCGATTCATAACATGCCTCCGTTTTGTTCTTTTAACTACTACAATTGTGACAGATGTTTATATCTCTGTACGATAATTTTACTGTTAATACATCCATCCCAATTGTTATGGCAAGACTGGATGACTTCTATCTGTGTAATTTCCTATGTACTTTAAGAGGATTCAAAGCTGCTAATACACTAACACTTGAACAGCAGACTTGCAATTTGGTGTACTTCTTCCTCCTTAGCGCTGTCTAATTTTCCCTCTCCCAAATATCACCTGACTTCACCCCTGCTGAAATATTCACTCTTGTCTTGGTATTCCATCTGACTGCATACTCTATGCTTTGAGCTCATTCAAAACTCTACCGCCCGTGTCCTTACCGACACAAAGTCCTGCTTCCCTATTGACCCTGTCCTTATTGTCCATTTATTTTTGTGTAGCTTTATGACCACATGCATGAGTTTGGATTGAAGATAGGCTGCTCAAGGGAAAGCAAGATCAAGAACTATCATTAGCGTTGGGCTTTTTAATGCTCATAGTATTGTCTTAATATGTAAGAAAACAATGATGCATGGTATTCAGAGGTTTACCAGGTTTGAATCTTATGTTACTGAAAGACTATTCCACAAACTAATGCAAAATGCTAGTGACTATACTCCACACATTTCTAGATATTTTCGAATCAACCTGATCAAAGATTTTATTGCACTTTTCTAGAGCACGTGGGACTTGAACCCAGGCCTCCTAGTTAAGAGGTAGATTATACTATCACTAAATCACAAGTGCCCTCTCCACATGTTTCTGTGCCTGTTTTCCCCTATTATTTATAACTCCTCACTTGGCTATTTATGCCTAGTGTGAACACCATTCAAAGTTGCTTCAGGGCCTTAAAGCCTTTATCTTTGGTTCTTGGTCAAGCAATACTTCAGTTTTCACCTTTTTCCAAAAATTACCGTGGGCTTACTGCTTCTTCAACGCATTCCGGTTCCACAACTCTATCTGCATTGACATCGTTCTGATCTTGAGTATCCCTATTTTGTTATTGTTCCAACAATGGTAACAGTCATAAAGTTGGGAGCAGTGGTAGGCTATTTGGCTGTTTGGACCTGCTGAGCTAGTGAATAAGATAACAGCTGATTTAACTCCACATTCCTGCTGCTCTCAAAGTATATTTTTTAAATATTTAAAAAAAAAAAGTCTCAGTAGCATTTCAACCCAACCGCTGCTTACCAAGAACTTATTGACCTCTGCCTTAATTAGTGAGTCTTAAAGACTTCTGACCATCTGTGAGGAAATATCTGAGAGATCTTAAATAGGTGACCCTTAATTTTAAACAGTGACTCTGAATTTGGAATTCTCTCAGAAGAGGAATTATCTTTTCTCCATACACCTGTCATAACCCTTCAGACACTTGTGTTTCAATCAAGTGGCCTTGTGTTCTTAATTGTAGTGGATACAAGCCTAGCTAACTAACCTTTCCTGATAAGTCAATATGCCATTTTGGGTATTAGTCTGGTAAACGTTTTCTGAAGTGCTTCCAATGCATTTAGTTCCTTCCTTTAAATAAGGAGACAGCACTCCGTAATCAAGATTCAGTCTCCTCAAAGCCCTGTAAACCTGAATCATAAACTTCTTAGTTTTGTATTCAGTTCCTTTTTGCAGTAAGTGATAATATTCTTTGACTTTCTTCATGCTCTTTGTACCTGTGTACTAATCATCTGTGATTCATGCACTAAGACACGAGATCCAGGAGTTCTGTGATCTCTCATGATTTATATAATATTTTTTTTTATTTCTTCCTCTGAAATAGATCACCTCACAGTTTCCTGTCATGTAGTCCGCTTGCCGGGTCAGTGGCTATTTGCTTACTGATGCACATTTCAGCCTCCTTATGTCCTTTTTTTTTAACAACTTATATCCCTACCTATCTTTGAGACACCTAATTTAGCAACTATACCTTTGGTTTACTCATCTAAGTTATTTTGAAATATATTTTAAAATATTGAGGAACCAGCAGTGATTGTTGTGCTGCAGCACTCGTTAGCAACAAAAAAATTGCCTGTTTCCTGTTAACTGGCCAAACTTCTATCAATGCCAATAAACTACCCCTTACACTGAGTTCTTATTTTCAGCAGTGACCTTTATTGTGGGGCATTATCAAATGTGTTCTGCAGATCTAAGTACTGTATATTTACCAGATCCCCTTTATCCAAAGAACATGCTATTTATTCATAGACCTCCAATAAGTTGTTTAAATATGATAAATAGATGTTGAGCCTTTGGAGAATGCAACTGGGAATTAAAAACAAGGAACAGGGTAATGGCAGAAAATTTAAACCAATATCTTGCATTTATCTTCATGGTGGAGGACACTATAGACATTCTAAAGATAACAGATAAGCAAAATTCTAATTGGAGGAAAGATCTTGTAGCAGTCTTTGTCATGAAAGACAAAGTATTTGACAAACTAATAAAAACTAAAGGCAAGCTAGTCACCAAGGGTTTTAATGAAGGTGCTGCAGAAATAGTGGACAAAATGTTGCAGAATGCACTGAATTCTGGGAGGATTTCTGCAGATTGGAAAACTGCTAATGTGATAACTGTTCAAGAAGCAAGGGAGACAGAAAGCAAGAAACTGTAGGTCAATTATGCTGATATCTATTGTTAAGTAAATGGGAATATGTACACAATCTCAAATTTTAATTTATAATATTCCTTGAGGCCTTTTTATTTTGTTAAAAGATACTACACAAATCTAAGTAGTTGTATTTATATCTCCACGGAATGTTAGTTCTGGCACAATTTGTCCTATTTCCTACATTTACTTCAGCAATTACATGTCTAAAGTACTTGCTTGGCTGTGAAGCACTTTGGAACATTGAGGTTGTGAAAGCCATTATGTAAATGAATGATTTAAATAGGATCTAATCAAGTGCTTGTCTAAAAGATATGAAGCTTATCCATTGCTTTGCATTTAACCCAAGTCATTGAATTAAGGTATTTATATATTCAGAGATACGTCCAATCATGGGATTTAAATCTAGACAGGCCTTTCCACTTCATATCTCCCAAGCAATGAATAGAATTTTATAATTTAAAAATGCTAATAAAATAAATTTTAATTATCACAATTTTTTTCTGTGAAAGGAAAAAGAATCCATCAGGTTCAACTAGTCTGTCTGTTTGATCCATATTAACTTTATCACTCCTACCTTGTTGCACTATCCAAGCAATACTCAGAAATATTTGTTGGATTTTGAACCTGTTTATGTGTTGACTTCAATAGTTTTCCATATTTGTGTCACAGTTCTTTTATGTATACATCTTGCTTAACTTCTCGTTATTAATCTTGCTCAGTTTTATCTAAGTTTTTTGAATTAGCATTTTAAATGATTGCTTTTTTTAGACCGTATATTCCAACTATTTTAGTCAATTCTACAGAGTAATTATATCACACAGCTTGCAATTTTGAGAAAGCTAGTTTGGAGACTAGCTACACAAGACTGTCCCAACATTCATTTTGTGTTTGCATTGATTCCAGCCTGATTGAAATAGAGGGAGCTTTGAAATGATCCCAAGTTAGGTAGACAGCCACTCAGTTGGACTGCCTAGTGAATTATGATAATAGGCCATCTTTGGCAAAGAGCTTCTTGTCCTTTCTGCTTTTTGTTATTGTTAACAATTTCATCAGAATTTGAACACTTAAGGTTGCAAGTTGTGAAGTTGAATTCAATCAACCTTGTAATTTGAGGGCAGACATCAGAAACACTCTACAGCAGCTGTAACTCCTTACATGCTACACTACAAATCTATTTTTAACATTAAAAGAAAAATTGATATAATTAATTAAATGAACTGAAATTCAAATTTCAGAAAGTCTGACTTTTTCGGCACATGCTGGAAAAGAAATCTATGCAATAAATAACAAATGGAACATTTGACCTTTAGGCAGAATTTTAAGAAACAGTTAACTTATAGCTTGTTTAGTTTTAAAGCTGGGTTTATAAAATGTTATGTTGTTGATAGGAAACCGGTACTCTTTCTTGATGTGATTAAGTTCAGCAAGTTATCACTTCAGCTCCATGTTCTTGACTTTAACATGATTAAGTTTGTGTCAGTGCCCACACTGTTATTCCAAATTGAGGCAATCAGGTGGTTGAAATAACTGGAATTCACTGAAGCCAGGAGATGTTAGATCATTCATAGCTGATAGTATCTAATGCCATGTATGACTGCAGTCCAATGGGGCTGTTGTGGCACAGTGCTAGTGTCCCTACCTTTGAGCCAGGAGGTCTGGACTTAAGTCCCATTCTACTCCAGAGGTGTGTAATAACATCTCTGAACACATTGATTTAAAATATTTATTATCGATCAAAATGAAGTCCAGGTGTCAACTGGAAATTTTGAACTTAATGCTTTCAATATTTTTCATGTTAACACAGTCTATGTACCTGTTTTTCCTAATAATAAATATAACTAAAAAGCACAGCAAAATTTATCATTGAGTGAGGTGTGAGTAACAAGCTGAGTAACTTGAGTCTGATGTGGTACCTGTAATATAATAGAATTCTTAATGTTGTTTTTTACTCTCTGCCCTAGGAAACAAATTCTGCAATACTTACCTTAGCTGTATGACATTCCCATTGAATAGCAAAAGCTTCACATCAGAGATTAGAAAAACATTTTGAAATGTTTTTGCACGTGTCAGATTTTTAAGAAGGTTTATATGAATGGTAAAAAGGTATGAGAATAAATGTCTGGACTGGGGTTCTACCAAAAATGTGGAGAAAACTTAACTTCTGCTGATGACTTGTAGTAATTCTTTGACTGCTATATTATACAGTAATCTTGTTAGAAGTTCAAATAAAAATTGTGAAATGGAATGTTGCTGGTCACTGGCCTTCGTTTGTAATGAGCTCACTAATGCTAAAGAAAATTAGTTGAAAAAAATGTAATAAACTGGAAAATAAATGTGAAGATAATGTTTCAATCATTTTTATTTTATTATACATTCCAGATTCAAAGATACAAATCAAAGTGAATAAATAATTTTCTAAGACAACAGGCTTTTAATACACATAATTTGTATAATGACAAAACCTTTAAACTGTTCTTAATTGTTCCCACACAGAAATGCAAACAGTAGGAAACTGTCCATGTTTGATTGTGACACTCCATCCCTATTGTTGCACAGCTCTGAAATTTTAGCCAAGCTGCTGGCATACTGGCTCAACTCAACAGCTTTGGAAGTGGAACCTATGAAACAACACAAGGAGAAAAGTATGAATTTCAGCATTTGTATAACTTAATTATGAAATAATTACACAGGCTTCTTTGTTATGGGCAGCATATTAAAGAAATAGCATTTATTTTCATAGTGCATAATTAGAACCTTGCAATATCCCAGAATGGTTAACGTCACCCAAGGAAGGATATTTAAGCATGGTCAGTGTTCTGTAGTAAATGCAACAAGTAATCTGTGCACAGAAATATTCAACAAAAAACAATCCAGATGAACGGCCAGTTAATTTGTTTTGCGTGATGGTGATTAAAGAAGGAATGTTAACTATAAGAAATTGTCAGAAATGATAATACTGTCACATTATTTATGGTTGTTTCTGTTTTGTCTGTATAATACATCTGTCATGGTTTAAAATTTTAAAAGAGAAAGAAAGCAAAAGGAAATTGGCCATTTTCTGCTGCTTTCCTAATCCCTGAGTTTGTATACGGGAGAGACTAAGGGCTGCTCAGTTTCTCAGTCATGAATCAACACCTTCAGGGGGCAAGATAGATGAATATCGGCAAGTAAAGAGGTAAAAGTGATCATTGTTTTGAAATATTTCATTGAAATATATTTAATACTGTAACTACACTGAAGCACAGAGCTATTATAATTCCTAAAGTAAGTAACATCACAGCTAGAACAATTCATTAATGATTTGGCAATTTCATGTCGTTAGTTGTTGTTTGAAATATTTCTTTCAGTTCTTCAAACCTTTGTGTCCAGATACTTGAGTAAATTTGCCAATATACAGGCAGGAGTGAAAGGTGTCTCATCTTCCATTTCTTATGTCATTGTTCAAAATTAAATTGACGTAGAAAATAGGCACAACGTCTCCCATAGATATTCATTAGGCTTCTTAATCACATTTGGTTATGTCCTAAACTGATAAATTATTGTTTCTGGTATCTATATAACACTTTATTCATATTTTTATCATATTTCTGACTTTGTTGAGACATTAAACTATTTAAATGAGTGAACACAGCTGCTAAAGTAGACAAAGAAGTGTCATTTGAATGTGCTAAACACTGCTATGAACTTCTAATTCTTGACTTTACAAGATAATAGTTTCATGTGGCAAATGACATCAGCATTAACTTTCTTCATTGCTACAGTAAAGACAATATAAAAAATTCTGTCCAAAATCTGTTTAAGGCTAGTTTGGCTGATGGGATACTGGTTGAGCTTAAGGAAAAAGACAAAGAGGTCTTGGAAAGACAGGCAGTACACAAAGTAGATAGGTCACCCTGCCCGGTTGGAATGCATCCCGGGTTGCTGAGGAAAGTAAGGGTAAAAATTGTGGAAGTGCTGATCACACTCCTCCCTAAACACAGGGTATTGCTAGAGGGCTGGGCATTGAAAATGTTACCGACATTGTCAAAATAAGAGGAGAAAGGTAAACCTGGCAATTACAGGTCAGTTGGTTTAACATTGGTGTGGGAAAGCTTTTAGAAACAATCTGCGAGAAAATTAACAGCCTTTTGGATAGAATCCCTACCCAATGGAAGCAGGCCATTCAGCCCATTAAGTCCACACCAACCTTCCAAAGAACATTCCACCCTCCTATTCCTGCTTTTCCCATGGCTAATCCACCTAGCCTACACACTAAGGGCAATTTAGCATTACCAATCCACCTAACTTTGAACTGTGGGAGGAACCAGAGCACCCAGAGGAAAGCCACACAGACACAAGGAGAATGTACAAGCTTCACATAGACAGTCACCCAAGGCTGGAATCAAACTTGGGTCCCTGACACTACAAGGCAGCAGTATTAACTGTTGAGCCGTTGTGCTGCTTAATAAGTGTGGACTAATACAGGAGAGGATGAAAATCTTCAACCTCTGAGCATCCATAACCCTCTGAAGTAGGATATTCCAAAGACTCCAAAAGAACGTCCCCTCATCTCAGTCCAAAATTGCCACTGTGTTTTCCTGAAATCATAGTCTTCAATCTGAAGAAGTGCTAGCTTGGCACCTCTCCCATAAAATCTCTGAGAACTTTCTGTGTTTCAATGAAATCTTCTCTCCTCATCCAAATGCTAGGGGCTATGCACATAGGATCATTCTATTCAATCTCTTCTTATAGGATATCTCTTTCATCCCAGAAAATGATGTCGGGAGGTTTTGCTGCAACCCCCTCTAACACCAGTACATCTTCCTTCCAGTAACGAGAACATAATTTTATGCAGTACTCCAGCATTGCAGTAAGGTTCATATTATTATAGGAAGACCTCTTTATTCTTATATTCCAAACTCCATGTCAAAAGGCAAACAAACCATTTGCCTCCTTGATTACTTGCAGTAGCTGCATGTAACCTTTCTACACCTATGTACATGAACACACAAATCTTTTTGAATGCCAATATTTATTCATTTCTCACTTTTAAAAAAAGTTCTGCCTTTCTACTTTCCTAATAAATGGGTAATTTTACATTACTTCACAATATATTCCATTGGCCACTTACTTGTCCAGTCACTTATCTGATTTTTATCTCTTTACAGCCTCTTTTTAGCCTCCTTATTGCTTACTAACCCAACTCAGATTGTATTTTCTGCAAACTTGGAAATATTAAACTTGGTGCTGTCATCAATGTAGATTTTACATAAGTGATCCTTGTGTCATTCTCTAGTTACAACCCAAAAATGACCTATTTATTCCTGCTGTCTATTTTCAGTCTATTAACCAGTCTCCAACCCATGCAAATATATTACTCCCAATCCCATGAGTTTGGCACCAATCAAATGCCTTCTGAAAATTCAGGTATACCACATTTGCCATTAAAATAAACCCTCTAACTTTCATAAATAGTTTTAGAGAATAAAGCAGGCCAGGCAGCACCTGTAGAAAGAGAAACAGAGTTAATGTTTCAGGTTCATGACATTTCATCAGAACTGAGAAAAGTTGGAAAGTATAAGGTTTTAAGGTATGTTTATGATATTCCAACACCAGGAGGAGCACTTCCCACACATGTGCTGATGCAGCCAATAACATCAATCTTTTATACTATTTAAGAAATTTGTTAGCTTCTTCAAAAGCATTTTGCTATCATTATTAACAATGGATTGCAATTAACCACTCTGTTTTCGTAACAGATTAAAAATTCTATTTTAAGGATTTATAATTATTAAATTCTGCATTGCCACAAGATTCAACCATTGTAAATTTTCCTGAATTTTTTTTTCAAAACGGCAGTCCATGGAATAAATTCAGCTCAAAGATTATTACCAGGACCAGGCTGCACAAACAGGATTGAACTCAGTTTGTTACTGTAAATAAAATTATCTCCACGCAGGTTGCAAAAATATTGGATGCATGAAACATGGAGGAAGAAGCAGTTTTTAAACTGTTCTAAATTGTTTAAATCGCTGGTTGAGATTATATGTGGTACAAATACAGACACAGCTCTAAAGGCAGGCAGATTCTCCCTGGTTGTGGAAAAAAGTAAGTATTCAGCAAAGAGAATTTTAATTGCCAGTGCTTTTGACAGGGGCTACAAGTGAGTTCACATTCTGGGCCAAGAGTGCACGCACAACTGTTCCAGATGACTGGCGAGTGGGTGTCAGGAATATTGGTGTAGATTTTAAACAAGTGAAAGAGAGGAATGAAAAGGAGAACAAAAGGAAAGGTTTGTAATAGGATGGAGGAAATGAGAAATTAGACTGCAAAATAGTTGTTAATGCACGGCCAAAGGAAGTTGTAGTGGGATAAGCAAAGCATCCATTGTTTTACAAAGAATAAACAAACAAAATGGAGGCAGAAATTATGGTGTGAGGATGGTGAGCTTAATGTTGAGTCCAGATGGTTATAAAGTGTCTCATCAAAAAGATGAGGTTCAGATCCTTGAACAATTTGAGCTTCATTGGAACACTGCAGGAAGCTGAGCACAGACAGGCCAGTGTGAGAGCAATGTAGAGAATTAAAATGATAATCATTAGAAGCCCAAGGTCAGGATTGTGGACTGAATAGAGTTATATCTGAAAGTAAACACCCAGTTTGTGTAGATCCCCTAATGTAGAGCAGATTGCATTGTGAATAGCAATACAGTACCTACAAATTACTGTTTCACCTGCAAGGAGTGTTTAGGACCATGAACATCGATTTAACTTCCATGTTACTAACTGCAATTTAGAAGTTTTGGCAAAGATCTGTGGCCCAGGTTGTGGATGAGGTTGTTGACTCGCTCACCAAGCTGGCTTGTTTTTGTTCAGACATTTCGTCACTAGCCATCAGAATACATGGAATATCAGCTAGCAGCAAAATGGCACAACAAACTCTCCTTGATATTGGTACATTCAGACAATGAAGGCCATCAATTTAACTGTGACAAAGTAACCATAGTAGCCCAAGCCAAACATAGACACGCACAGGAATTCCTAGAGGCATGGTTCTCCACCCACACTTCAATCAACAAACATATAGAATTGGACCCCATATACAAACCCATACAGATGAAAACTGGAAATGACAGTACTGACCATAACGGAGCGAACAGTATAAATTCCAAGCGTAGTAGAATAACATCGCTTCATTCGGAGGTGCCACTGATGATGTCACCTAGCATGGTGACAAAACGTCTGAACAAAAACAAGCCAGCTCGGCAAGCAAGTCAACAAACTCATGCAATTTAAAAGGTAAAGTTGCCACAGGGCTGCTTTATCATTTGGAAAGAGATAACTTGGGATTGTTTTTGCCTGAGTGTTGCCATACTTCAGGCAAGTGGAGAGGCTGAGAAGGAGCATCTTTCATGGTAAGCTCAGCTCATGCAAGAATTGAACCAACACTATTAGCATTGCTCTGCATTACAGACTGGCTATCCAGCTAAATGAGCTAACCAACCTGATTGCAGTTTATGCTAGTACTGAGCTTTAAGAATGTAAAAGTCCTGAGTTACATTTTTGATCACTTATCCCAACCAGCAGAGGAGTATAGGCATTAGAATAGGCCACTGTGGTTATTGTAGCGGCTCCAATAACTATCTGGTATACTTCAATGGAAATTAAATTGTGTTGCAGTTAAAAATGAGCTGTACTGCTGAAATTTAACTGTGTAGACATTAAGAAGGCTTACTCCAACTCGATATTAGAGGTTGCAAGCATACATAGGAACATTACGCAGCCTTTGAAAAGAAGGGTGCTAAAATAATATCAGGCCCATCACCCTAGCATGAATTAGCCTCTTCAAGAGAGGAGGAGGAGGAGAAGGAATAGTACCAAAAGTTAAAAAAACTTAGATGCCAATATCCCAATTTTCATTACTCAATGAAAACAGAATATTCTCCAACTGAGATAACAATGGCTAAATTGCCATTTCCCCTTAATATTTTAAAGGAAGATAGCGTCATTTTTCTTTAGTTGTTCATTTACTTAAGTAAACATATTCATTATTGCTGACAAGTTTAGGATAAGATGTTTTCAGTGGAACTTTTCTGAAAGTGATATTATGGAATATGATTTCAGAAACATCGTAAATGAGAACAGATGTTAAAACATCCCCATTCTACTATTGCTAAAATAATTATCATGTTAGGCTTTTCACATCATTTCTGCCAGACAATTTCAATGCAACACATTAATAGGGGCAACTAAGAGTTAATGATAAGTACGTAAACATTTTTACAATATCCAGAAATAGGTTATGATTAAGCAGAATACCATCCCTTTTGACTTCTCTTCATAATTCAATGGGTGATAACCCTTTTCACTGCTTTTTTATGCCTCTTTTTTATGAGTGCAATGATTGCATTTGGGTATGATGATAGCGGTACAATATTTAGACAATATTAGAAGAGCTTATTAAATTAAATAGATTTTACAAGGTATTGTCAGTATCTCACATTTAGCAATTGGAAAATTGCAGGCACATAGCACTACATTCCCACCCATTGAATTAAATAGACTAAAAATGGCAGACTTTGTACAATGATTTTGCAATAATTCAGCTGTCATGTGCACAAGGTAAGTAGCAGCATGTAGTCTGAGAAGTTTTCACACACAGTCTAACATCCTGCTTGCAAATTAATTTTGTTTTGGTTTGTGATTTTTGGATGAAACAATAAGTTTGCATTTTGGAAGGAGAGGTCATTTTTGTATGCGTAAAAAGTTACACCGTGGAACAAAGTGTCGGCAGGTGATGCATATTTAGAAACAGTTCCATTTTTAAACTACAAGAAGATTCACATTAAACACAATCATCAATGACATGGTGTATTTCAGCATTGTAGCTTTTTGTTATCTCACAGTGGCATAAAATAGGGACGATTGAGGTGAGGCAAAGTATTCATTCTTACAAATTACTTATGTTTACGTGGAACTGAAGACATTCAACATGAAACATTGAAAAACAATACTTACATTGCATAATGAGTGGGATAGAACGTATGAAGAAAGTGAAGCAATGAATTCTGAGGAATTTTCTGGAGAGTGAAGAAAATGTATGACTACACACTGAGCTACATTTTTAAGCAGAAAATAATGAATTCCTGAGAGAGATTATGAATTTAAATAGGGATTCATAGATACCTGAGAATGATTATGAAGCAGTATAGTCATGGAAGTTTGCATGGTCCATAAACTAGGTAAATACTATTTTAGGTTTTTTTGCAGGGATTGCGGGAGGACATGAGTTGGATTGGAAAAAATAAAATTTAACAAATCCCAAAATAAAGGCAGAGCTAAGCAATCGTCTGTGAAATCTTTCAGTTCTGATAAAGAGCCATGCCAGAAAAATGGACATTTTCCTTTCTTTTCAAAGATGCCTGATTTGTTGAGTTTTTCCGGGGTTTACTTATCTTTTTGTTTCAGATTTCCAGCATCTGTTGTATTTTGTTTAATTATTTCTAAAGTTGAATGTTTGACTTTATAAAAATGTTTACAAATGAGTTTGCTATTAACCTATTAAAGGCTTGATTACACAAGGAAAATTGATAGCAGTCAAGAATGGTGTTGTTTGGAAAGAAGTTATAAAACACCGCTGGGAGTTTATGGAAATACTACTCACAGGTTTTAAATAAGCCACGTTACTCTGACGAATATCATTTAACAACAGATCTCGAGGGGTATTTTCAACTAAAGGTGCTTGTCGAGACCTGGGAACTGGCTTTAGTGAACTTATCATTGCCTTCAGGTTTGGCTTGTCATTCCCATCTGTAGTACCAGCTTTAATTTTACTTTGTTTTTTGGGAGTTTTTCTGAGTTGTACTCGAACAATGTTCTTTGGACGATTGTAACAGGTTTTTGGTGGGAGAGGAGGCTCTTCACAGAGAGTGGAGTGAATGGGCACGTATTCACCCAACATCTCCAGCAGGCACGGGTTAATTTTTTGACAGGCATTCATTGTCACTTCTTGTTCCTGAATGAACTGGTTTCTCTGCTGTTCCAACCTCCTTTGTCTCTGTTGATCCAGATTGCGACTTAGTAAGTTGGTGACCACCATTCTAGGTCCTGGCAGCTCGAAGTGATAACCCAGCTTCAGAAGGGTGGTGTTGGCTTTGAGAAGTCTGGCAATCTCCATCTCAGCGTGGTGACCCAACATATGTCTCTGGTTGTGAAACCTCAGCTCAGTGAGAGTCTCATTGAACTGTAAGCACCTCATGATAGCCACAATGCCTTTTCCTGTGATGAAATTGGACTCAATATTAAGGGTAACAATTTTTTTGTTCTCTCTTAGCATGTTGGCTATGTCAAAGGCGATTTCATCATCAGCGCCTGTGTTTGTGATGCTGAATGAAGTGACATGTTTGTTCTTCTTCAAAGCTTCCACAAAATTTTTCAGCATATCTTTTGGGATGTTTTCCACATTGTTCAGGTTGACCTCTTTAAGGTCAGGTTTGTTTTTGCGAATATCTGCCAATGACTCGTCTAAGAGCGTTGGGTTTCCCGAAGGCCTTGCAGTCAGTTTGAGAAAACTGCTGTCCAATCCTATCTTCTTTCCTGCCTTTCCTTTTCCTGATTTCACCTCAGTATTTTCTTGGCTTTCTTTAGGTGGTGTAGAAATTTCTTCTTTGCTGCCCTTTTTGCTGTCATTGCATTCAACCTGTTCTTCAGTGGGAGAACCAGGCTCTCTCTTGTTGCACAAGGGAATGGGGTCTTCAATCTTCTGCTGATCATTAGGCTGATCTGGGCTGGTCTTCCCTGATCCCACCAGCTGGTTACTGCCATTCCCTTCAGTTTGAGGTTTAGGTTCAGTCACTGGTGGATCTTTGACTTGCTGTGCCTTCATCGTCTCTACTGTCTCCTTTTCTTTCTCTGATTTGTATTTGATCTCTTTGTTCTCCTGCTTATCATCTTCCACTTTCTGAATCCACTGACCATTTCCATTCAAATGTTCGGTACTTTCTTCTTCGTTATCTCTGTCTCTTTCACTCTTGCACTTTTCTTCCTCACACTCCTTTTCAGCTGTTGGTTCTTCAGTTCTTCCTTCTACAGTTTGCTGTTGGAAGGAGAGACTTTCAGTTTTGTGTCTTTTGGTAATGTACAGTTTCATATTTCTAATAAAGTTCAAGCACAAACATTATAAACATTAGTCTCACTATACAAAACAACTTTCTCATAAAAATCTGAATCAATTAGAAATTCCTCAAAGCCCTTTTAAAGATATCTGCTGTTTCATTTCAGTAGAGTACAAATTTAACTCCTTTGGGAAATGAATTAATATATCACAGTCTAGCCAGCTAACACTCAAGGCTAAAGTGAACATGTTAATTTGCTACTTGTATATCTGGCTGCATACAAATGCAGGATTAGATTCCACATAGAATCCCTACAATGTGGAAGCAGGCCATTCAGCCCATCAAGTCCACACTGACTCTCTGAAGAGCATTCCACCCAGACCCTAGCCTTGCATTTGCCATGGCTAATCCACATAGCCTGCACGCTATGGACAATCCACCTACCCTATGTATCTTTAGACTGTGGGAAGAAACTGGAGCACCCAGAGAGAACTCGTGCAGGCATGGGAAGAATGTGCAAACTCCACACAGGCAGTCACCTAAGGATGGAATCGAACCTGGGTCACTGGCGCTGTGAGACCACAGTGCTAACCACTGAGCCACCCTGCCACCCCAATGGTGGTGGAAACATGGGCATATACTGAATCTTGGGCCAAACCAGGAGGAATATAGTCCAGTTTGTGTGTTGGAGTCACAATATCTCAGGTACAGTAGATATTGTGAGGAATGGAAAGAACATCATTGGATATTCTAGGAGTATAGTGATGCAGGTTTCACGCTGTTTCTGTATGTGGTTACAATGAGTTTCATTGAGCCAGATTCACTCCGCTTTCTTGTAGCCCATTTCCAGTTCTGCCAGCTCCTCCTCAGCACACGCTCACCTCGCTGCTCAGCAGAGTGACCGGGATCCTTTCCTCCTCCAGCAGTCGGCTCGATTCCTTCTCCCAGTACAAGTAGTCAATCAGGGACCTGTGATCGAAGGAGCCAGTGGGAGCCTTCTCTGTGTGATCTTTCTGCCTCTGCCCTAAGGGCACAAGCGGGTCAGGGTCCAGATCTTCCATCTCGTTTTGCAGTTGCTTCAATTCTTCAGGAGACAGAGTTGCCAGGATTTCGTCCTCATCCAGCTCCCCGCTGTTGGGCTCTTTGTCATCAGATTCGTGGCTGCAGTCCGACATGGTTGGTGCCTTTTGCAAGAAGATTGTTGGGGCAAGTCTGGAGTTTAGCTGGAGACTTCCCGTCCCTCGCTCTTCCCGGAGCAAATGGTTCAGAACCCAGTACGCAGCAGTAAGCCAGGGCTGCCTAGCTGTCTGCGCTCTATATTAAGCACAGCTCTCTGCCAAAGTATTCCTGGGCACTGCAGCATTTCTGCGCTGGGCTTTTTTTTTCCCCCAGCAGCTTCTGTCAGCTGCAGGAGTCACCGTGACATTTCACTGCAGCTGGGTCCCTTTCACTACAGGTCAGGGGAAGGTTTTCGAGAACATTCGCTTGGCAGCCTAACCTCAAACTGATTAGGACCGAGCATTTACGATGTAAATATTAGCCTTTCTGTATGTGTTAATAGTGGAGTTGGGAGAAGATATTCATTCCGCGAATTTATTGGGATCACTAACTCTTCGCGGGGAAGAGATGTGACGACAGAACTGCTGGAGTTACTGACCAAGTGGGAAATTGACTTGGCTGCTGAATTTGAAGTTACCCCTCCGAGTTTCCTGATATAGTCTCTCCAATAGTTTCTTCCCAGCAACTTTAAGTGGCGCAAAACGCTACGGTACTCCGTAACTGTCCTTCAACTTCATGTCAAATTCTGAAACCCCCTTGAGATGTAGATGCATAAATAACAATTTCCTGTCGGGAACAGCTAAAGGAATTGTCTGAATGGGGAACAGAGACAGGAATGTACTAAGCCTAGAGTTTATAGTAACAGGAGGGATCATGTGGCTATTTTCAAAACGGGATACATGCACGTGTGCCCGCAGGAATTCAAGAATTGCTTTAAGACCGTATCAAATAAAAATAAGCATAATTTATAAAGAAACGACGATTTTTACAGTTTGGTTAAGTCCAACTGAAGTTTAAAGTCGACAGTTGAACAGCTTAGATTACTTTTTTAATTATAGAAGAGGAGATCTAGTCTCAGCTCTGCTGCCTCAGCAGGGATATTCTGCCTCTGCAGTGGGAGCGACACAAAATCAGTTCGTGAGTTACTTCGAGACAACAAGGTGCAGGGCTGGATGAACACAGCAGGCCAAGCAGCATCATAGGAGCAGTTACTTCTGTACGTCTGAGCTTTCAGTTCCAAGGTAGCATGAGGAGCAGGCTGCCTGCTAACACTTGAGTTTGGTACTCCAGCCTTTCAATGGACAGGTCACCCAATCCTCTGTCCTCTCAAGATGAGGCATCACTCTCTTAACAATTCACCACAATACCTCCTAATCACTCTCGGGTACTTTCAGACACTTTACAATAGCAAACCTTCTTAAAATTGACTGCAGGTTGGCTACCTGGCCCTTTAAGTAAGACGATGTAGGGCCTGATCTTGCAGCAAAGACACAATGTTGTGTGTAAATTTCTGTGTAGATTGTAGATTTGTTATATGATTCTGTTTGATCCAAATTTGGACAAATTTGTGTCACATCTGCAGGCGGGACTGCATGATATCAGGTTAGCACCAGTTTGGCTGTCTCTAGCATACACAGAGGATGTCCGTGTGAGCACTCTCCTCAAGATGATGCACTGTATAGGTCATGACACATGTGGCTTCCGTAGAAGCACACAGCCCCCTCCCCCAGCCCCAGAGTAAACCAAGCAATGGAATCAAAACCATGATTCTGTGACCTTGTTTCAACATTTTAGGGGGATTAGAAAGGAAGGTAACACATAATTCTTTCTGAATTGGCCCCCATTTTCATCTGCTTAATGGTTCCACCAGGAATGGCTCCACATAAGTATCATAGAATCCCCACAGTGTGGAATACGCCCTAACATATTGGGCACACTGCCCTACATCAAGAACATATCGGAACTGACAACAAGACTCCTAAGATCGCTAGGAATCATGGTGGCACACAAGCCCACAGCCACCATACGCTTACCACAAACCCTTACAAGGATTAAAGACCCCTTTCCCACAACATGCAGAATGAACATGGTTTACAAAATAACATGCAGTGACTGCCACAAACATTACATCGGACAGACAGGAAGTAAACTAGCCATCAGAATACACAAACATAAGCTAGCAGCAAAACAGCATGACCAACTTTCCTTAATATCAGTATAGTCAGACAATGAAGGCCATCAGTTTAACTGGGACAAGATAACCATAATAGCTCAAGCCAAACATAGACACACACGGGAATTCCTGGAGGCATGGTTCTCAACCCATAATGCAATCAACAAACATATAGAATTGGACCCCATATACAAACCCATACAGGTCAAAACCGGAAATGACACTACTCACCATAACGGACCGGACAGTATAAATTCCAAGCAGAGTAGAATAACATCGCTTCATCGGAGGCTCCACTGATGATGTCACCTAGCACGGTGACAAAACGTCTGAATGAGAACCAGCCAGCTCAGCGAGCAAGTCACAACCTTGCGCACAGGACAGTTAAGAATCAACCACATTGCTAGGAGTCTGGAGTCACACGTTGGCTAGACCAAGTAAGGATGGTGATTTCCTTCCCTAAAGGGGTATCATCCAAACATTGTGCAACATAATCACGACATTCTGCCCTGAGTTTTGCATGACAATAATACATTAGAAAGAAGTAGAAAAGAGAAGGGAGATCTATAAGATGCGTGGACTTTCTGAGCCCAATGGAGAAATTAGAGCATCATGTATCATAATGTCACTGCGATTGAGCCCTTGGTATTGAACATAGTTGAGAACTGTGAGGATAATGGGTTCCTTCCCTAAAGGACATGAGTAAACACAATGGGTTTTTCCTGACAATCAGCAACGGATTCATGGTTATCATTAGATTCTTAATTCCAGATAGTTATTGAATTCAAATTCCACCATCTAACATGGTGGGATTCGAGCCCAGAAAGTTATCTTGGTCTTTGGATTAACAGGACAGCAACAATACCGAGTGCCAGCAAGTTCTACTGTGTGAGTGATGGCAATATAGTGCATTGAGCACAATGAGAGGTTGGTGGTATGGTTGCTAGTTGATGTCATGTCAAGTCATTAGACCTTGTATGGAACTTGTTATGATGACTGTAGAGATCAATAAAGAAATTCAAACTTCTGATAAAGTTGTTCAGAAGAACTGACAAGATTTAATGTTTTAAGACATACACAGGAACACAAGACTAGAACCACAACTGACTAATCAGCATTTTTATAGCCACCTTATACTTTAAATGATAGAACATAACTCTTAACACCACTGAATAAACTCATCAGCAGGCATATGTTACAAAGTCCTTTAAGTAGACATTCAGCTGTCCAGAAATCATTCTAAAATGATTCTTCATTTCTGATCCTTTCCTCTATCGGCCTAGGAATATTTACCTCTAGAACTATTTTTCACAGTGCAAGTTTTCCTGGAGATTTCTCCCTTTAGGTAGAGCTAGACAAATCTTCAAACCATTTTTTAACTAACAATAAATTTGGCATTCACAATCTGACCAAGAACTCTCTCCGTCATTATGGTGCAGTGAGACAAACATTTACCATCCAGCTCTTTTTCTCTCTCCCAGACTCTGGCACATTAATATCTGTGATATTCAGTGATACTTAGGAAAGCCTGTAACACAATCTTCACAAAGGCTTCCTCTGGAACCTTCCTCATTGCAATATGAATCACAAGTAGGTCTTGTATCCAAGTAAAAATGCTGAATAACTATTATTTAGGCTTCAACTCTATCCTGGAATCAACTGTTCAAAGTTTACTCCTTACAACCTGTGATGTTAACATTCCCTGAAGCTTGGAAACCCTCAGTCTGTCACCTGCATTGTGGCTATGTTCACTGCTGTCTGCAGCCTCACACCTTCTTCCCAACGCAGCAACCTGAGCCTTCCTTTATCCTTTAACAACCCCATCATCCAGAGCTGTTGCAGGCAGATATCAGCACAGGTCACATGACACACTTCACTTTGTCCTAACTGAAAGACACTGTTCCAAAATATTATCATTTTATAAACCTCATGCTATAATAGATACATACTAGATCCTTGGGTCCAGATAACAGGAATTGATCTCTTTGGCTGCCTAGTTTCACTCCTTTCTGAGGGTAGCCCATGGGGTTGCCTGGTCATCCATGTCTTTACTCCATCATTAAAGCCTCCAATGTCACATCTGTGAACCTCAAGCCTACTTTCTGCTCTGATGCTCCTTTTCTCTTGTTTAGAATTTTTTTTTGTTATTCATTCATGGGATGAGGGCGTCGCTGACCAAGCAGCATTTATTGCCCATCCCTAATTGCACAGAGGGCAGTTCAGAGTCGACCACATTGCTGTGGGTCCGGAGTCACATGTAGGCCAGACCATGTAAGGATGGCAGTTTCCTTCCCTAAAGGACATTAGTGAACCAGATGGGTTTTTCTGACAATTGACAAATAGATTCATGGTCATCATTAGAGTGTTAATTCTAAATATTTTGTTGAATTCAAATTCCACCATCTGCCGTGGCAGGATGCAAACCGGAATGTTATCTCGGTCTCTGGATTAACAGTCCACTGAGAATACCACTACGCCATTGCCTCCCCCTTAAATTGCGCAATGCTATTCAGTGTTGGCCTCTTGTCATTTAATGCAACTTGCTCCTATGGGGGACAGAACAGAAGACTGACAGCACTAAATGTTACCAGAACACCTTTTTCAGCGCCCTGCTGAGCACAGAGGAAGTGTAGTGTAGGAACTGCTTTGCCCTATGTTACCATACGAAATTGACGCAGCACCAAATTTCCATGCTTCCCACCCCAGAAGAACAGGGATAGGCAGTTCATCAAATGCAGTCAGTGCATTTGATTAATAGCATTACCAGTCTTTAGTCTTTGATTTGACACCCGAGATAAAAACTACAGATCGCATAAAATTTAAGCTAGCTTCATTGATATAAGAAAACAAGCCGCATATCCACAATCCTTCAGACATAAGTCCACTAAATATTACTAAATAAAAAATGCAAAGCCACCATAGTCCCACCAGACCGTGAGGTTT